TTCAAAATCGTGTTGTGTGTGTGTGTGTGTGTGTGTGTGTGTGTGTGTGTGTGTGTGTGTGTGTGTGTGTGTGTGTGTGTGTGTGTGTGTGTGTGTGTGTGTGTGTGTGTGTTTCGTTTCTCTGACTGCGTTGTGGGCTGCGTGTGCTGTTTCATGTGAACGCTTGATAAGCGGCGGCCTGGATACTGCTGGTACTGGTGCTGGTGCTGGTACTGGTGCTGGTACTGGTGCTGGTACTGGTGCTGGTGCTAGTGGTAGCAACGCAGGGGCTGCTTGGGCAGGCGTCGGTAGAATTTTGTGACTCTCTTGTCTCGCTCGGCTGCGCGCGCGTGCCGAGCTACATTTTGAGCTCGGGCAAGCGAGGCAGTAGTGACCTTTCCTCGCAGCATGTCGGCTGATGCCCTCAACACATCTGGCATCCTACTGGAGGATCTCTCTGGTGCCAGTTCTTCAGACGCACCCCTCAACCCGGTTCAAAGCGGTAAGTCTGTGTACTGGCATGCTCCTCCTGCACCGCTCGGCCATCCGAATTGGCGACACACACAGCCACACTCAGTCCCTTGGCGTCTTGCTGACCCAACTGCCTCGGGATCAATGCGTTTGCTGGGTATGGCTGTGCGTAACAGAAGACTTGAGCTATGCAGGCATGTCAATCATCGCCTGCATCTCCCGTACGCTTCTTCTTCTCCGTTTTTTTTTTTCTTGTGCAATGTGCTGACCATTCCCCCTTGACCCGGTCCTTGCAGCTGACATCCATTCCCACCGGCGATTCATTCACGTCAAGGATCACGAACTCAATGAGCCATTTGAATTTCTTCACAACCGCATCAGGTCTGTTTCATGCGCAAGGCCCTTCACGCATACACACGTACACAGACACGCACACACAGACAAGTCCATTTATGGCGGACCAATCGGTTCTGACGTGCATGCGTTCGCGGATGCGCTCTATGACTGAGCAGTACTGCAAAGTACAATCTAGCCACCTTCCTCCCAAAGTTCTTTTTTGAACAGTTCTCGCGATATGCCAATCTCTTTTTTCTCTTCACGGCCGTCATCCAGGTCCGCACCCTTGTTCAACCTTCTGACCCTAACCCTAGCACTGCCTTTCAACAGCGGATGGGTTGAATTGACTCACACGTGCTTCCAACGATCATGCACATAGCAATTGCCTGATGTCTCACCAACAGGTCGATGGACCACCATTGTGCCGCTCTTCATCGTGCTGTGTATGACTGCCATCAAAGAGCTTCTAGAAGACTATGTACGCTCGTGTTTTTAAGATTGCACCTGTCGGTCCCATAATGCATCAGAGGGCTGCCGCACATGTCGTCTCATGGGAGTGCTGCGCCACACGCTGGCGCCCAACCGTACAGAAACGCCATGCTGCAGATGGCGAGGTAAACCAGCGCAGGGTCAAAATCTTTGATCAGCTCGCGTTTGTGACCAAGCGCTGGACCAAAGTGCGCGTGGGTGACGTGGTCAAGGTTCTCAACAACAGCTACTTTCCAGCCGATCTCATCCTTCTCTCTTCATCAGAGCCCGATGTACGCAGGCGCAAAAAGTGCACTCATGCATTCAGCACCCATACTCGCCACAATACACTCATGGCCCCTTTTGCCTTCTCATGACTCGACTTTCAGGCCATGTGCTATGTGGAAACAGCCAACTTGGACGGTGAAACTAATCTCAAGATTCGCCAGGGCTTACCGGCCACCAGCCACCTGATCTCACGCGACAGCATTCGTTTTCTCA